GCGGCTTTTTGGCCCCTTGAGTGTGGCTCTTCCACAAAATACCATGTGCGGGCACACAGGTACAGTGCGATTGAAACTTCGTGGCCCATGCGCAGAAGTCGGTTTTCGGCCTGGGCGAGTCTATTTTGAAGAAGTACTGTTGATATTTGGCTCTGTTGACTAATGAGTTTGCCGACCACTGGGTTAGGGCATAATGATTCTTTTTTATCTTCCTGCAACATCGAAAATAGGACTGTTGAATGAAGTAATAAAACACCTGAGTAAAATCAGCCTGACATTGCCCAGCCAGCGTGGCTCGGTAGGTGAGCATCGACTTATGAACCTGAAGGTCTGGTTCAATTGGCATAATGATTCTTTTTTATCTTCCTGCAACATCGAAAATAGGACTGTTGAATGAAGTAATAAAACACCTGAGTAAAATCAGCCTGACATTGCCCAGCCAGCGTGGCTCGGTAGGTGAGCATCGACTTATGAACCTGAAGGTCATGGTTCAATTCCCGGTCAGGGCACATGCCCGGGTTGCGGGCTCGATCTCCAGTGTGAGGTGTGCAGGAGGCAGCCAATCAATGATTCTCTCTTATCATTGATGTTTCTATCTTTCTCTCCCTCTCCCTTCCTCTCTGAAATCAATAAAAAAAAATATTTTTTAAAAATCAGCTTCACAAATCAAAGCAAAAGAAAAACTTAGGTGGGTCACAAAAATAATATAAATTTTAGATGAATGGGGAATATATGGATATAGGATTATAATAACTAGATATTTTAGAAGTAAAAATGACTGCTATTCAAACTATTATAATCAGAAGTAAATTCTGATTAATATAAGTGTGTTATTTCAGACTAGAGTATGAGACAATTTTGTTAACCAGTCTCACAGTACACATTTACACTTTGTGGGAGAAAAATAGAAGAACCAATACAATCACAATCTACATGTTACTCATGCCAAGAATAACTCCAAAGGATAAGGTTGGTTTCCATCAACCAAAGAGCAGAGGAAGAATAACTTTCAAAACAAGACCAACAGCTTATCCAAGGACCTGTCATCCCTTAGCCTCAAAAAATCGTGATTCTCTTAGAATGATTTCCTTAGAGGATTTTTAGGAGGTAAAGACATCTAATTTCGAGTACTACTTCCCAAGGATTGGACCTTATACAAATAAATGAGGACAAGCTAAATACAGCACAAAGGGCAATGCTGTAACCACTCCACACCTGGGACATCATTAAGGAACCCAGGTCCAATCTGCTCCGACACCCATTAGCCCTGTTCTCAGAGCTCAACACTGCATGCGAAGAATATGGAGTACCCTGTACAAGAAGGACTACAACTGCTTAAACATAAGCATTAATCAGATCAAGGAGCACATTAAGTTAATGCAAGGTAGTACCACGAAAACTATAAGAGAGGATGTAATAAAATGCAGATTATTGAAAGAGATACTTCTAGACCTCAGAATGTTGATTCAAAACATGACACAACCTGGAGGTCCCAGGGACTGCCAGGCACTCACATATAATGTGACCATAGGTAACCTTGACCCATATGAGGGGAGGGCATGTCAAGGAGCAAAGGATGGGTGCAGAGAAGCAAACTCTGTCATTGTTCATCCCACAGCAGCCAGGAGAGCGATGTGCATGGCAGTCACTGGAAAGAGCTCTCTCCTGAGGGCAGGGGAATTGCATCACCTGCCTAACTAATGCCTTTCACCTCTGGCTTTAAAGTTATACTCCCAAATAATCTTTTCAACACTAATTTGGCTTCTTAGACACTTGATACTGGCAAAGAAAGTGTCCTTAATGGAGAAACAAATTTTCCACATATTAAAAAGGGATGCCCCCACGTGATAATTTCGTAAGTTGTCATTTCCTTGTGGTTTCTAAGTGCCAGTGTCAACAAGGTTTACCACTTCTATGTATATAAAAAACAACTCGCTTCTGGACCTGAGAGGTGACGATCACACAGGAAACAATTGTCACACACTGGTGAACCTGCCAAAAAGCATCTTCTACTGATAAATGGCTGCCAGTTCAAATGCAGGAGGCCTAATACGATATCTGAGAAAGTAGGCACTGAACAAATGTTGAGTAAATAAAGGTAATTTTTCCTAAAATGTAAACCAAAAGTTTTTAAATCATAAAATTATGCAATAGTGAAAATACTTATATCCAATGACTTCAAGACATTTATATGTAATTTTTCAATTAATCTATAAAGTCAATGACTACATCATTTTATTACCCCTTTTCTCTCTATAAACCTTGATGGTTCTTCACATGACAAAAAAATACATAATAGATGCCCTTTAAATAAAAAAGCATATACTCTAACAGTGTTGAAAAAGATATTTTTCAAAGGCCTTTGCCAGGGCAAGAAATCATACAACAGACCTTTATCACACTATTCACCAGCCTCCCCACAAACATTTTCTAAGTTGTATTGGTGCAGTTGTATTCCTGCAACAAATTATTGTGTTTTTTATTTGTTTGTTTTTGTCCCTAGAGTCAGATAAACCTGATTTGGCACCAGGAATGACTCACTGTGAGACTAAGGCAAGTCATTTAATTAGTATGGGTCTCAGTTTCCTTACATGTGAAATTATACACTCCTATTTAGTTCATAAGGATGTGAGAAGGACTAAAAAGAACTTCATACAAGAAATGCTTATACAATATTTGCTCAATAAATATGAGTTCTCTTCCCTCTCCTTCCCCCTTGAGAACATAGATCATATTTTCTATATATTTGTAATTTTCCCAACACAGTAAATGATGAGTAAGTAGAAGCACAAAGAACCTGACAATTATGAAAGAGTAGGAAAGAATACTAGGAGTGTAAGTTGGAAACAGTACATTCCCTTATAAATCCTTGTGTAAGCCAGGGATATGAAATGGTCATTTCCTCTACAGAGTTGGAAAGTCAAAAAATGTACTAAGGACCAGCTACACAAACAATGAAAATTATATGGCCCGTAACGTAGGTCAATTTGTGTCAATCATGAATGGAACCATAAAGGCTTCAGCAAGTACGAATTCCCTTATTTAGGATCTAGAGAACATACTACCCATCCAGCTCCCACTTGGGTAGCCAGGAGAGCCAGAAGGAGCAGAGCAGTAGTGCCAATCGGCTTAGTTTACAGTGCCAGTGGTTCTCAACCTTCCTAATGCCGCAACCCTTTAATACAGTTCCTCATGTTGTGGTGAGCCCCAACCATAAATTATTTTCGTTGCTACTTCATAACTGTAATTGTGCTACTGTTATGAATCGTAATGTAAATATCTGATATGCAGGATGTATTTTCATTGTTCGCGACCCACAGGTTGAGAACCGCTGGTTTACACCTTTCCCCATTAGTCTCCTCTACTTAATTCTCTCCCCTACTATACCATCACATAGGAATAATTTTACAAATTCTAGTCTTCCTGTCATCTCCACCCATTTTTCATATAAAAATATAGGTCAATGTTTAAAGAACGTTTTTAATTGTATGCCTGTAATAATTGTGCTGACTTAGGCAGTTTACAGAAATAGATACTCACCTGTATGCCAGTATGTGTGCAGGCTAATTTTGTAAATTCAATACATCTGCCATCACTCACATCCCAGAGACACATCTCTCTATAAGACAAAATAATAGCTAACTTTAATTGGATTTGTAAAAGCACCGTTCAGCTTTGTCACAGTGATTTAAAACTCATCTCCCATTAAAACTGGTCTGTTTCAGAAAAAGTAGTGTATAGTCATTATTGCTCTTCATCAAAAATCCTGTTCCTCCCACTCACCATCCCAACCTCCTTTCCAGCTTGCCCACCCTCACCTTCATCCACATTCTTTCTGGGCAGATGGTAGAACTACTGCACCGCCCGGCTCCCTTTGGTTGGTGGAGCATCATGAGTAGTTCTGGCCAGAACCCATGCAAAGCCCTCCAGAACTCTTTCTCCTCTGGCTGCTTCAGACAGTGGTTGCTCCCTCAACCTCAACCTCAGAGTTAGGATAATAACAAATCAGAGCAGAGCCCCAAGGGATATATGAGGGGCAAGTGGCAAAAACAAGAAATAACCTTTTAGTTTACATCACTTAGATGGTTATAAACATAGCTTGAAAATTTAGCACTGCAGAAAAACAAATAAAAATGTTAACTGAATTCCAAACCTTTTCAAATTAAATGTAATATTCCAGTTTTGATTCTGTATTTATTACAGAAGTTTTATTGAATAAATACAAACAGAAAAGCATATGTCAAACTAAAAGATACAACATTCAAAATCAAAAATGTCAATGCCTTATCTTTTAAAGAAATAAACTTAAGATTTATTTAACAGAAAAGAACATTAATAAAATGCAATAATCCTGATATTATTAGGGTTTTCTTTGAAATGCCCTTTCCTATATTTCACATAGTATGAAACAATATTTCAAAAAAGCTCCATCTATTTAGACTATGTATTCTAAAGTGAGTTATTTAATTGACCAAAAGGTACTATATTTTTACCTGATGCTGCCTCTTTTCACACAAGGTTCTTTTCAAATTCATAAAATTATGAGGAGGGTGGAGAAGATAACTTCTTAAATAATTATCTTCCAGTTCCCCAACTCTCTTCAATAACATGTTATGTAAATATACAATTTTCTAAGTGCCAAAAAAGTTTAAAAACATTCCTACACTCTGAACCCTACAACTACTGTTCAATGACCTATCTCTCCAAAAGTAAGCTATATTCTGAGATTAGGAATATATATGGTTACACTAGTGTATTAACATACATTAATATAACTGTATGAACTTTTACGTCATCTTCCAAGATGAAGTTGGCTTCATCTTCCAAATTTGTGCCAGCCTAGCATCATCAGGGTTTTTAAAACTCTCAAAGTTGTCCACCAACTCAATGACAATGCCATGGGGATTAATGCTCAGCTTTAACTTGTATGGTATTCTGAGTTTCTCAAAAGCAAGGCAAAGACATAATAATAAATTATAATAAAAGTATTAGAAAAGTCATTAATAAAGATGAAATGCACCCGGCCGGAGTGGCTCAAGGTTGAGCATCAACCTATGAACCAGGAGGTCACGGCTCGATCCCCAGTGTGGGGTGTGCAGGAGGCAGCCAACCAATGATTCTCTCTCGTCATTGATGTTTCTATCTCTCTCTCTCCCTCTCCCTTCCTCTCTGAAATCAATAAAAATATACTTAAAACAAAAAAAAAGATAAAAATGCACATTTTAAAACTACATTTTTAAATATCTTTAAATTTAGATAACTGGAACATTTATTTAAAAGATACTACAAAAAAAAACAAAAAACCTTCCCTAGTTACAAATACACTGGTACTGTTTTCAATAAAGTCTTATGAGGAAAATAGTGAATAAGAAAATGCTTACCCACATTCAGATGCACTCACAATATATTGTTTGTCACTAGAAGCACAAGCTTTAGACAAACAGGTGATTGAAGCTGTATGACCAAATAACAGTGCCCGGGGATTAACCTAGAAATACACAAATATGTTGATATGAGTACCAAATTTTTAAAAACTAATATTTTTTAGGAATCCTGTTAAATATTCATATAAATAGAAAGATGTAGATTTGAACCCTAGACAATTTGGCAAAGGTCCTGGGTTCGATTCCGATCAAGGACATATGTCCAGGTTGCAGGCTTGATCCCCAGTGTGGGGCATGCAGGAGGCAGCCGATCGATGATTCTCTCTAATCATTGATATTTCTAGCTCTCTCTCCCTCTCTCTTTCTTTCTGAAATCAATAAAGATATATTTTTTAAAAAGAATGAAGGGAAAAGGAGGAGGAAGAGGAGGAGGAGGAGGAGGAGGAAATGGTTTTGTTTTGACTTTTGTAGAGGATATGTGTCTGCTGATGTAATTTGTCCATTATCTAAAGTAACACTCTGGTATTACATCAGACAAAGTTAAGTAAGGTAATTTTTAAAAAAATTATAGTATTGTGTGTGTGTGTGGGGGGGGGGAATTAACTTGTTTTGTCTCAAGAACTGAATTACTCTCTTCCTCCACCGACTCTTAAAAGTGGGAGATACTGAAGGAGAAAAGACCGAATCCCTAGAGATGGGTCCCATTCTTCATCAGAGCCAAATATGGGGGACGGATCCTAATTAATGCTTTTCCCGCTGGATTGAATGTAGCATGCATTGCTTCACCCAAGACCTTTATTATACCTAACACTCTGTGGCCCTCTACCTCTGGACACCATTTGTGGAGTCCCTGTCTTTGGTGGACTAACTGAGATTCCTGAAGGACCATATAGGACAGTGGAGACACAGCTATGCAAATATGCCAATCATATTAAACCCAGTGAGTGTCACGGGAGAGGAATGAGTGGGGCACATCGGGAGTCTAGAGAATGGAAGTTACGGTTCTTTCCTTAATGCCACTTAAGAGCTTGGGGAGGGAGGGGGGATTAGACCCGTGAAAGCGCAATCAGCCTCTGCATCTTTTGTGCTGAGATTATGCCGCGATGCCGTTATTTCTTTGCATCTTCGTCCAAAGGCTTGTGGCTAATTTATACGCTTGATCGAAAGGCAGCAAGAGCTTGCGCGTGCAGGCAGCGGATAAAAGCCCCGGTCTTGCCCAAAACAAAACAAAACACACCGAATCAAATGGCAAAGAGAAAGAAAGAAAAGAAGAAAGCAAACCTAGGCCCTACAGTAGACACAAAAGCTTAGCTCTGCAAGAATGCTAAGCCCTCTTTTATTTCTCTGCCACTGAATTTAAAATGAGCTCCGAGGACCGCGAGTGGTAAGAGGAGTGAAGCAATTTCAAGTGACAGAGTTCAAAGGAGGTGGTTATGCATTTCTAAGTGGGCGCCGCATCTCCTTAGAGATATTTTGCACTTGGAAATAAAGAGTTCAGTGGAGACCATCGCCTTATTTTCTGGAGAAAACGGCCTATGCAGTGCAGGAGGCAGCCAACCAATGATTCTCTCTCGTCATTGATGTTTCTATCTCTCTCTCTCCCTCTCCCTTCCTCTCTGAAATCAATAAAAATATACTTAAAACAAAAAAAAAGATAAAAATGCACATTTTAAAACTACATTTTTAAATATCTTTAAATTTAGATAACTGGAACATTTATTTAAAAGATACTACAAAAAAAAACAAAAAACCTTCCCTAGTTACAAATACACTGGTACTGTTTTCAATAAAGTCTTATGAGGAAAATAGTGAATAAGAAAATGCTTACCCACATTCAGATGCACTCACAATATATTGTTTGTCACTAGAAGCACAAGCTTTAGACAAACAGGTGATTGAAGCTGTATGACCAAATAACAGTGCCCGGGGATTAACCTAGAAATACACAAATATGTTGATATGAGTACCAAATTTTTAAAAACTAATATTTTTTAGGAATCCTGTTAAATATTCATATAAATAGAAAGATGTAGATTTGAACCCTAGACAATTTGGCAAAGGTCCTGGGTTCGATTCCGATCAAGGACATATGTCCAGGTTGCAGGCTTGATCCCCAGTGTGGGGCATGCAGGAGGCAGCCGATCAATGATTCTCTCTTATCATTGATATTTCTAGCTCTCTCTCCCTCTCTTTCTGAAATCATTAAAAATATATATTTTTTTAAAAATGTAGATTTGAGAAGATTGCTTAGAATACCAAAATCTAAAAATAATAAATAATAAAACAGTGACTCCTACCTATTCAATGCTCCCAATAATCCTACCAAGCATTTCTGAGGTTGAAATTGGAACACCACAAGATGACATTACTCGCCGAGTGTCATACAGGGAGTGATGGAGCCACAATTCAAACCAGGGCGGGCGGTCTTAAACACTAAACTAAGAGCATACTGAGAAATCAGGCTAAGGATGTGAATTAGCATGTAAAATCATTTAACCTCACTTATTTTTTAAATAATAGCTTTACTGCCCTAACTGGTTTGGCTCAGTGGAGAGAGCATCGGCCTGCGGACTCAAGGGTCCCAGGTTCGATTCCAGTCAAGGGCATGTACCTTGGTTTCGGGCACATCCCCAGTGGGGAGTGTGCAGGAGGCAGCTGATCGATGTTTCTCTCTCATCAATGTTTCTAACGCTCTATCCCTCTCCCTTCCTCTCTGTAAAAAAATCAATAAAATATATATTTTTTTAAAAATTAAAAAAAAAATAAATAAATAACAGCTTTACTGATCTAAAAGTACATTTAGAGTATCCTCCTTTTACTAATATCATTTCTATAGGTACTCACTAAACTATTGCTTCTGCAATTTCTCTGACATTTTATTGCCACTGTGTTAGGCCAGGATGCCCTTTTTAGAGGTAAATGGAGACGAAGATATGGATGGCAAAAGTTGTAGCTACAGTTTTGAATCCTTACCTAGCAAAAGAAGAAGAGAAGATACCATGACCTCTAAAGGAGGCACTTTGTGCCTTCCCTCTGAATGTTACATTTCTTCTTACTGGTCCTTAGAAGTTGGCATAAATAGTTGATAGAAAGTATAACAGTTAAGAAGACCCTCCATATATATCAAAATACAACAACCAAGCCACCTCTTACTTCACCTTCTTTCCCCCTGGATAAATAGTCCAATTCCTTTAATATTTCTCTCCTAGCTGCCTCCTCCCCACATCTCACACCTCCTCAGTCACTTTTATCCCTTGAACTTAAATACATATAACATTCTAGTGAAATCCATGCAGTAAAAGAATTGTTTCTAAGATCTCACAAGTTAAATCTTAGCTGCTTATAATCATTCCAGTAAAACGTGGTGTGATATTTTTTCTCATCACTGCATTGCTGATTCATATTTAGTTTTCGATCAGGCCTGAAGGCATATCACATTCTACAGCATTCATTTCCAGTTACTTTGCAACCTCTTAACCCAGCTAGCCTTTACGTGTGTGGATCATTTTTCCAGGTTTAGCAATTTCACCCCTAGGTGTATACCTAACAGCAATGGAAAGATGTCCACACAAAAACTCATACACAAATGTTCACAGCAGCATTATTCAGTACAGCCAAAGTGAAAACAACCCAAATATCTACCAACTAATAAAAAGACAAATAAAATGTAGTATACCATAGCCTAAGCGACTGTTACAACCGAATGACTGAAACGACAGATCGGCCAGTCACTATGATGTGCACTGACCACCTGGGGGCAGACGCTAAATGCAGGAGCTGCCCCCTGGTGGTCAGTGTGCTCCCACAGCCAACCTCCCATGGCCAGCCAGCCAACCTCCTCCCACCCACCCGCCCAGCAAACCTCCCGCGGTCCCTCCCCCTGCCTAGCAGGCCCCGTCCGACAGGCCCCCAGGCCGGCCTGGCTCAATCGGGACTGGGCAAGACAGCCCCGATAAGCCCTGATCACCGGCCAGGCCTAGTGACCCCACCCATGCACAAATTTCGTGCACCGGGCCTCTAGTGCAATATATTTGGCAATGAAAAGAAATGAAGTACTGACATGTGCTATAACATGGATAAACCTTGAAATATTATGCTAGTGAAAAAAGCCAGTTACAAAAAACCCACACGTTACATAATTCCATTTATATGAAATGTCCAAAATAGGCAAATCTATAAAGATAAAAAATAGATTAGTGGTTGCTTAGGGGGAAATGGTTTATTGGAAATGACAGCTAAAGAGTACAGGTTTGTTTTTGAAGTAATGAAAATGTTCTAAAAGTGACTATGATAATGGTTGTACAACTCTCTAAATCATTAAATTGTACACTTTAAATGAGTAAACTGTATGGTAGGCAAATCTTATCTCAATAAGACTATTACCATAAAACAATTACTTAAAAAGTCAACTATCTTGCCACGAATTCCAGGCTAGCAGTCACCTCATTTTCTCTGGTTCCCTTTACAAAAACTCTCCTGGAGAGTTGCCAGAGAAGGGAGATTTAAAAAATGGAAAAAGAGAAAAGCAGAATAAACCCTGCAATGTAATACTTGAATTGCAGGTAGTAAGTGAACTTCATGTATGTGCATGTGTGTGTGTCCCCAGCTCCTATTTTCCAAGTCTGTCCACTGAGAGGTTCCAGCTGTAGAGCACACTGCACACGCATATCAGTAGTAAAGAATGACAATAAATACATAGTGAGTTTTCAAAATAAATAACAACAAAATGTACACTTTGAACTGTTAACTTTTGGAAGCCTCCTTCAAAATGGGTAAAAATTTTTTGACAAATTATAAATGTAATGTGTTATGGCACTTAGGATAGATATTATATTTGAAAATAGCCAAAAGCCAGAAAAAATCAACTCTAATGAATAATATAAATAATCAGTCTGCATAATACCAATTCTATTCAAAATGTATTTCGCAGAAATATATGATGAGGTCAAGTGCTATTCTTGATCTGTGTTTTTCTCTACTAAGTAGTTTCTTATATTTAAAAAGCACAATAGGCATTTCAAATACTCACTTCCAATTCTACTGAAAGATCCCAGAGGCATATCTGTCCATCATGGCACCCGGTTACGATTGTGGCCCCGTCATCTGTTAAAAGTACTGCTGAGATGCAATGTGTAGGTGCTTTGCGACCCCAAAGAACGATGGGTAGAACAAGGCTATTTCCTGCCATTGTGTTTTCAAACCTGGAAATGTTATCAGAATAATGTCAAATATTACAATATTTCCTTCTAAAACATATACATTTTTCTTATGACGCCATTGTGAATTTCCTAAGCCTCAGAATTCTTCTAAACATTACACATAATAGACACAAATACAAATACATAAAATCTCATTTTAGATGTAAAATCTCAATTAATCTTCACAACAAATCATGCAGTAAGTCCTACTGCCACTCCTCTTTCACAAATAAAGACAGTGAGTCATAGAGTTGCAAAGTGAACATGAAGGAAAGAAGCTCCAATCAGAACCCAGGCAGCTACTTCAGACGCTATGTTCTTCTGCTGCTGTGCTGCCAACAACCAGTGAGG